TTGCCGGCTCTGCTCTCCCCCCTCTCCTTCTGCTCTCTCTCTGCAGGTCTCTAGCCACTTGCAGGTTCTTGCCCGACGGAAATCTCGTGAGATTCAGTCCAAGCTGAAGGTACGCGTCCCCCCCTGTCCCACCTGGCCCCCCCGCCCGCTGACGACTAAAGCGCTCGGCTCTGCGGTGTGCCGCTTGCTTTCTTTTATACCTCTCTTTTTTGGTGGTTTTTTTTTTTCCTTCCCCCTCCCTTGGCTCCTGGAACCGGATGGTTTTTAGTGGCATCGTTGTGGGATGCCCAGAGAGAAGTGCAAGGGGGTGTCCAGCTCAAAGGCTGGGTGGGGACACCAGAGCCCTTCCCTCTCCCCCAGGAGAGTGAATTTGGGTGCCAAATCCCCTCCTTTCGCCCAGGGAAGGACTCTGCCATGGGGAAATGGGGGTTTAAACCCTCCTCCGGTGATGCACGAGGGCTGCCCCCTCTTTTGGGACATCAGGGGTTCTCCCAGGAGGGGAAGGACCCCCCCCAGAGCAGCCAGCGAGGCAAAGTGAGGTTCAAGCAAGAGGTGCAAAGGCCCCCCCCGCCTGCCCCAGCTGGGACCTGGCCCCGCTCCTGACGGGTGCCGGTGGGATGTGGGCAGAAGCAGGGGGGTCCCGGGGGTCCCTGCAGTCTGCCAGCCCGGCGGCTTGTGATGCACCAGGGTCCGAGTACAGCCCAGGTGGCACCTCAGGGATGTGGGTGGCAGAGGGCCCGGATGGGGCCGTGCTGCCGGGGAGGGGGCACGGTGCTGCCAGGGAGGGGGCACGGTGGTCCCGGGGAGGGGGCACAGCAGTGCCAGGGCAGCCCGTGGTTCCAGGGGCCAAGGGAGCCGAGCGAGGAAAAACTGGATCATCTTCTCTTCTTTGGTTGGCTTTTCTTTCCTTCCTTCCTCCTAACTGGAGCCCGACTAACCCTTCCGTAACCGTTCCCACCGAGCTTCGTGGCGGTGGTGGGGAGGGTGATGATGATGGGCGGGGGTGTGGGCAGGACTGGGGACATCGCTGAAGGACCGAGCCCTGCTCGGGTTGGACGAGCGAGGAAAAACTGGATCATCTTCTCTTCTTTGGTTGGCTTTTCTTTCCTTCCTTCCTCCTAACTGGAGCCCGACTAACCCTTCCGTAACCGTTCCCACCGAGCTTCGTGGCGGTGGTGGGGAGGGTGATGATGATGGGCGGGGGTGTGGGCAGGACTGGGGACATCGCTGAAGGACCGAGCCCTGCTCGGGTTGGACCCATGTGGAGCAAGGTGGGGGACAGAGCGGTCCCCACTGCACACCACCCGATTGGGGACAGACGGCCCGGCTGGGCTGCGCAGCCCGGGATGCTCCTGGGTTAATCCCCGCACCGTCACATCGGGGAGCATCCAGGGGGGACCTGCTGCCTTGTCGAGGGTGTGGGAGCCCAGAAAACCTTTCAGGCCCCTGCCGTGACCTCAGGGTCCCAAAAGCATCGCCAGCTCCCCGTGTCCCTGTCCCGGGTGCTGTGTCCAAGTCTCCAGCACTGAGGCTGGCAGCAGGGGCCACCGGCAGAGCTGGCGCTGGCATTTTGGTCCCCAAAGCTTTAATGAGCTCTGGCTCACGCTGCCCGGGAGCCCACCGAGCCGTGCCCTCCAAAGCCCTTCTGCAGGGACCCCGGTGCCCCATGAGCGGGGTGCCACGAGGGCTCCCACGCCCTGGCGGGTTTGGTTTGCTGGGAGAAGCCAGGAGAGGGCACCCGAAACTATTTTAGGAGGCTCCTCTGGGCTTGTACATCTTAAACCCAGCTCCCAACCACAAGAGGGGCAGCCGGGGGGGGCAGGGGCAGCAGGGGCAGCAACAGCAGAAGCCTTTGCACAATAAAATAACATAAAATAACATAAAATAACATAAAATAAAATGGGCTTTCCTTGCAGCACAGCACAGGGCAAGGGGGAGTCAGAGGCAGGAGTGACCCCAGGGGTCCAGGGATGGAGGCCGGCATCGGTGGCTGCGCTCTCCATCCCCGGCCACGCTGCCTGCAGGAATCCGGCAGGGAACAGCCGGGGCAGCGATCCCCTAAGCAAACACTGTGGATGCAGAACATCCTTTCCCAGCCATACTTGGAGGCAAAGCCCGGCGCAGGCAGCCCTCTCCCCC